TGATATCTTTCATCTATATAACAATTACTCCTTCTACGTCTCAATACCATTATCAGATATATACAACTATACTAAATAACCTTCCTCCAATCTTACTGATATCTTTCATCTATATAACAATTACTCCTTCTACATCTCAATACCATTATCAGATATATACAACTATACTAAATAACCTTCCTTCAATCTTACTGATATCTTTCTGATATTACATTGTCAGATACACACAAATCATTAAAATTACATTACATTGTCAGATACACACAAATCATTAAAATTACATTACATTGTCAGATACACACAAATCATCAAAATTACATTACATTGTCAGATACACACAAATCATTAAAATTACATTACATTGTCAGATACACACAAATCATTCAAATACATTACATTGTCAGATACACACAAATCATTAAAATTACATTACATTGTCAGATACACACAAATCATTCAAATTACATTACATTGTCAGATACACACAAATCATTCAAATTACCTTTATGACCAACATGGCGTCTGATTTTAAAAGGATTTGTCAAAAATCAGCTTTCAATCATTCTGGTAGATCTGTGAATTGTTCAGTTGTTGGTAGATTTTTAAATTATGTTTGGTGATTATAGTTAGATCTAGTAATCCATTATCAATACAGCTAGATTCTTTACAAGCAATAATTTATCTTACTATTAGTATCATACCATAGTCAAGTTTTTAGATCTTCTAATGTTTGATTATTATAGTAAATATCTCCCTTTATTATCAAACAACTCAGAATCAACCCCCTCTACCAATAAACATGTTGTATTTTTATATTTCTGATGATTATTTACAGTTAGATGCTCTATACCCAGCTTGTGTAGTTTTAAAAGAAGAACAGATAAAATCTAGTAAAATTGTAGATATGGTACAGAAAGCATCTCAGGTAAGTTTTAGTAACTCTCTGCTGTAAAAAAATTCTAATTATAATGATTCTATATTTTACTGAAAAAAACCTGAGATAACAGAACCAATTTTAGGCATTGAGCAAACTTTTTACAGCTATTTTAGTTTTGGTATGGAACTTATTGTTAAAATCTGCTACTCTGTCAATATAAGTTCAGTTAAAATCTGTTACTCTGTCAATATAAGTTCAGTTAAAATATATTACTCTGTCAATATAAGTTCAGTTAAAATATATCACTCTGTCAATATAAGTTCAGTTAAAATCTGTTACTCTGTCAATATAAGTTCAGTTAAAATATATTACTCTGTCAATATAAGTTCAGTTAAAATATATCACTCTGTCAATATAAGTTCAGTTAAAATCTGTTACTCTGTCAATATAAGTTCAGTTAAAATATATCACTCTGTCAATATAAGTTCAGTTAAAAATCTGTTACTCTGTCAATATAAGTTCAGTTAAAATATATCACTCTGTCAATATAATTTCAGTTAAAATATATCACTCTGTCAATATATGTTCAGTTAAAATATATCACTCTGTCAATATAAGTTCAGTTAAAATATATCACTCTGTCAATATAAGTTCAGTTAAAATATATCACTCTGTCAATATAAGTTCAGTTAAAATTTGTGAATATTTTGTAAATCATATAGCAGTCTATGAGACACAGATACCACATTGTGATGATGTCGTCTGTGATAATTCAAGATGGTTGCTGGGAAATGTAGAAAATAGATCTGAAGGATTTCAATGTTATTTTCTTCTATTTGAATTATTCAGGCAGCAAGACAGGGTGCTGAATCAACATCCAAGATGGCTGCTAGGGCAGGACGAGCTAGTTATGTGAATCCAGATAATTTACACAATCCTGACCCAGGGGCCATGGCAGTGTCTATTTGTTTCCAGGCCATTCTAGATACGTTGCTATCACAAATATAAACAAATCAGCCAGTGTATGTGTCAAGCTATTACAAACTTTTCACTTATACCTTGACTACAATAGCCACCTTTCTTGTATCACAGAATTTAGCGATTTGATTGGATTGTATGCCAGTGAATACAGCCAATCAGAGTTCTTGACATAAAGGCTGTAATCATTATGGCTAAGTGTTTACAGACTTTCTGTCAAAGTCTCTGATTGGCTGTATTCACTAGCGTACAAGCCAATAAATTCTCTGTATTTACAATCTTCCAAGATACAAGAATAGTGGCTATTGTAGTCAAGGTATAAGACGAATTTGGTAATACCTTGATATGAAAACCACAGTAATCACTATCAGGGTTCAGTTAAATTGTAACTCAACAAATGGAAGATTAGTCGTTGAAATTATTTAAGCCAGACCTAAACAATTTGAACTAATATATTTGTGGTTACAGTAAGGTAATTAAATTCTCATTAATTTGGCCTTATTTAGTTAATATTTTCTTGTTATTTCTTGATTTGTTATATTAGTGATTTGTTCTATTAGTGAATTATATTAGTGATTTGTTATTTTAGTGAATTGTTATATTAGTGCTAGTTTATAAACTGATTATTTTACAAGCTGATGAAGATAAGAACCTATGACTACCATTTGCTAGAGGTAACCAAGGTAATGATGAGGTCATGTAAAGAACTGATGGTTTATAAAACCTAACTTATCCAAGTTGAGAGAACTTGATAATCATTTCTCAGCTGATTTGAATGGCTTTAATCTGTACATATTATTATTATACCTTGACATTTGGAAATCAGGAAGGAGTTGGCTAATTTCCTCATTGTACACTGCATTCCTTCAATACACCAGTGATATATAGTAAAGTTGATTTAACTGATTTATGCAGATTTGACCAAAAACTCTTCTTTTATTGTCATATTACAATAAAACAAATCAGAAATAGTCTTCACAGCTCATTGATTTTCTTACATTTCTAATACTTCTGAAGACTATTTACAAATATTCAAGACCCAACTCAACCCCCGAAAATATTCATTAAACTTAACACAGAATTTCTAAAAACAATCTTTATTCATGCAAGAAGCAGAAAGATTAAAACTTTTAGTGAAGCATAATTAAGGTATATAATCATCTAAATATTGACTTTATCAGCTGATAGAATTTAATATAAGTTGTCTATATGACTTTCAAAATACCAACTCTGATGTCTAGTTTGTCTACAATTCAAGAAAGTGAAGCCTTTTGATCTGAACTTTAACTATGCAACTTTGGTGTCTAGTTTGTCTACAATAACCTAAACCAACAGTTTAAATGGTGTAAATTTTTCGCCCCTTTCATATCATGATTTTCCTCGGAAACAAGTAATAAAAAAATAAGACAACAAATATTCAGTTATATAGTCTGATGTTTTTCATTTATTCTATACACTGTATGACTTATATTTAATTGTACATAAACCTCAAGTCAAATTTCGGTCATTGTAGACAAACCTTATGTCCTAATTGTATTCTGAGTTGTTAAATTGTATGTATGAAAAGTGTTCAGGATACCTCATATTAATTTCTATCATCAAGTAAGATTAATAAGATGATTATATCATGATAATTTCAATAATACAACAATTTCTATATAATATCATGTCTTATTCTCCCTCCTACACAATATCAACCTAACTCAGTCTTATACCTTGACTACAATAGCCACTATTCTTATATCACATAATGAAGCGATTTGATTGGATTGTATGCTACAGAATACAACCAATCAGAGCCCATGACAGAAAGTCTGTGAACACAAAGCCATATTGTTACAGCTTTTTTGTCAAGGGCTCTCATTGGCTGTATTAGCTAACGTATAATCCAATCAAATTGCTTCATTCTGTGATACAAGAATAGTGGCTATTGCAGTCAAGGTATCAATGTATCAAGACATAGTGAAGATATTTGTCATCAAGTTTAAGAATTGTAAAATCTAAGCCAATAAATTGAAATTTTGTCAAATTTACCCCAGATAGTGATAGTACAGATATAACAGACAACAAACTATTAAATATATAAAATAATCAGCAAAGTTAGCACTCGTGATTTGAAGGCGCCAGGACAAACAGCAAAAATTATAAAAACATTTCATGGCCTGTAAATAGAAATAGGAATTGTAAAGAGATTAATTAAAGCCATTGTCAGTCTATAGACCATATTCACACGTCAGCCATATTGAAACGAGAATGATGCTAATATTACGAAGTGTGAATACAGTATATTGAGAACATCTATTTTCATTGCTACATTTATACCAGACATTTGTAGTTCCTATAATTACTGATAAAGTCACTATCACATACAGACTTTAACAAACACAGATTAAAAAACCTCTTTTCAATCCCTTTAAGCTTTTTAATATACATATATATGTCACCTAAAGGCTCACCAACAATAGATTAAAACTCTATCAATAATTATATTCCATTGTGCACAAAACAATTAACATATAGTTTATAGCAGTATTCCAAAACAAACGCCTCTTTCTGGTCTCAGACAGTCACATTTTTGGAAACTAAAAAAAGAGACAGCAAGTAACAAGCTTAAATTTTATGGATACAAATACAGGTGTTTAGCGTTCACAGTATTTTGTATAAGTCACCTATCAAACAATATAATACAACTTCTAGAAAGACTGATTTTATCCATTTAAATAATACGTTTAAATAATAATTCAAACATTGAAAAAGGAACGAACATTTGATTAAGCTTCTATTCTCATGTTATTTATTACAGCAGCTTTTATACTCCGGTTTCCATAGTCATATAAGCATTAATAGTTAACAGTCACTTCACCTAAAGGCTTAGCCAATAACATTGTTCAACATGTCTAACAAATACTGATTTTGGTTTCTGAAGCACACAACATTGGGTAAAAGTTATCATGATCAGACAAAGCATCAAGTGTCTATTATATTAAGCATGAACAGTCAGGTAATAATGAAATTACTCTCTCCTAAATGTTCATTTTACAACATTGTACTACATGTTTGATCAAATTAATTCTCACTATAAACACTGTATATAGACTAGTATTTCTTTGTGAAAAAGCTTCATGTATTAAGGCTATGGAAATATTTATAGTGATTGACAAAGACTGAAACAGGCCCAAGGCCTTACTAAGACCTGTTTTGTCAGATCCTTTGTCTTGTCACATGGTAAAGCAGTGATTTTTTTGGAAATTTGGGGGCTAGGCATGAAGCTAGGATTAAATATAAAATCAATACATTATCATAATACCATAACTTACAACATGCCTACAACATGAAATCTATCAGATATTTAACAGTAAGAGGGTGTTTGTTCTTTATTAGCCTTGGTACAAATCAATTTATTTGATTTCTTAAATCAATTGTGACATAAAGCGAGACAAAGCCTCTGGGAGACTACTTAGATTACTGGGTAAAAGCCTCTGGGAGACTACTTAGATTACTGGGTAAAAGCCTCTGGGAGACTACTTAGATTACTGGGTAAAAGCCTCTGGGAGACTACTTAGATTACTGGGTAAAAGCCTCTGGGAGACTACTTAGATTACTGGGTAAAAGCCTCTGGGAGACTACTTAGATTACTGGGTAAAAGCCTGTGGTAAATAATTAGCCCCAAGTTGACTGAAATCCTGTGGGTAAATAATTAGCCCTAGGGTGACTAGAAGCCTGTGGGTGGGGTATTTAATTAGTGTCATGTATAAACTGACCCATGGTAATAATAGAACTAGCAGTATTAATAGCAATTCTTAACGCATTATTGACAACAGCCAAACTATCAGATACAATATAACAACTAATACCATCAGCATTTAACCTTGTAGGATCAAATTTGGAAACCTTAGCAGCAACTTTTTCTCTTTCAAACCTAAAATCACTAACTGTTGTGCTATCGAAAACATTGCAACCACATTTAATACTTGATGATTTGACTATAGACGATGTATCTTTTATCTCCCCTTTCGGAACTCTCCAGACATGGTAGTTAGTAAGGTCAATAAGGTGATCCATGCCCTCTGGACTGGTTACCATAGCGATCTTCTCTAAACATTTAGCAAACATGTCTGCTGCAGTGGTTACCATGGATTCCATACAGTCATGTGACTCTGCAATTGACTCCATATTTTCTTGTACCTGAAAAATCAAATGTGGTGTAACAATTTGTCTCCAAACTTTAATAAAAGTTATTCCAAATAGAAAATAACAACAAGAAATGTTAACCCAAAAAATCATTGAACTCTAAAATATCAGTAAAAGAGTTTACCCAAAGTAAAAGAATAATTTAGAAAATTATGAAAGTTAATTGTGAATGGATAAACATGATGTCTAAGATAGGCAGCTATATCACCTGTCATACTTACATGATGTCTAAGATAGGCGGCTATATCAACTGTCATACTTACATGATGTCTAAGATAGGCAGCTATATCAACTGTCATACTTACATGATGTCTAAGATAGGCGGCTATATCACCTGTCATACTTACATGATGTCTAAGATAGGCAGCTATATCAACTGTCATACTTACATGATGTCTAAGATAGGCAGCTATATCAACTGTCATACTTACATGATGTCTAAGATAGGCAGCTATATCAACTGTCATACTTACATGATGTCTAAGATAGGCAGCTATATCAACTGTCATACTTACATGATGTCTAAGATAGGCAACATGATGTCTAAGATAGGCAGCTATATCAACTGTCATACTTACATGATGTCTAAGATAGGCAGCTATATCAACTGTCATACTTACATGATGTCTAAGATAGGCAGCTATATCAACTGTCATACTTACATGATGTCTAAGATAGGCAGCTATATCAACTGTCATACTTACATGATGTCTAAGATAGGCAGCTATATCAACTGTCATACTTACATGATGTCTAAGATAGGCAGCTATATCAACTGTCATACTTACATGATGTCTAAGATAGGCAGCTATATCAACTGTCATACTTACATGATGTCTAAGATAGGCAGCTATATCAACTGTCATACTTACATGATGTCTAAGATAGGCAGCTATATCAACTGTCATACTTACATGATGTCTAAGATAGGCGGCTATATCAACTGTCATACTTACATGATGTCTAAGATAGGCGGCTATATCAACTGTCATACTTACATGATGTCTAAGATAGGCAGCTATATCAACTGTCATACTTACATGATGTCTAAGATAGGCAGCTATATCAACTGTCATACTTACATGATGTCTAAGATAGGCAGCTATATCAACTGTCATACTTACATGATGTCTAAGATAGGCGGCTATATCAACTGTCATACTTACATGATGTCTAAGATAGGCAGCTATATCAACTGTCATACTTACATGATGTCTAAGATAGGCAGCTATATCAACTGTCATACTTACATGATGTCTAAGATAGGCAGCTATATCAACTGTCATACTTACATGATGTCTAAGATAGGCGGCTATATCAACTGTCATACTTACATGATGTCTAAGATAGGTGCGCTATATCAACTGTCATACTTACATGATGTCTAAGATAGGCAGCTATATCAACTGTCATACTTACATGATGTCTAAGATAGGCAGCTATATCAACTGTCATATTTACATGATGTCTAAGATAGGCAGCTATATCAACTGTCATACTTACATGATGTCTAAGATAGGCAGCTATATCAACTGTCATACTTACATGATGTCTAAGATAGGCAGCTATATCAACTGTCATACTTACATGATGTCTAAGATAGGCAGTTATATCAACTGTCATACATGATGTCTAAGATAGGCAGCTATATCAACTGTCATACTTACATGATGTCTAAGATAGGCAGTTATATCAACTGTCATACATGATGTCTAAGATAGGCAGCTATATCAACTGTCATACTTACATGATGTCTAAGATAGGCGGCTATATCAACTGTCATACTTACATGATGTCTAAGATAGGCAGCTATATCAACTGTCATACTTACATGATGTCTAAGATAGGCAGCTATATCAACGGTCATACTTACATGATGTCTAAGATAGGCAGCTATATCAACTGTCATACTTACATGATGTCTAAGATAGGCAGCTATATCAACTGTCATATTTACATGATGTCTAAGATAGGCAGCTATATCAACTGTCATACTTACATGATGTCTAAGATAGGCGGCTATATGTGTATTCCAGCAACCTCCACCAAACAATACTTCAGGTTGAATTATTAATCTTTCTAAATTACGTAATACACCTAATGTTGTAGTCTACAATAATAATAAAATATATAAATATTTATTTTCAAAATATAGAAAGTTCATTAGTTGAATCGTTCAATAAAATAGTCAATATACATAACAAGCTTTCATAACTTTTGACCTAAGACTGAATGACAAAGTTACCAGCCTGGTAAATAAACTATATGTAAACATGGCAAGATGGGAGGTGTTGAAACATACAATAATCACCTTCATTTTCTTTATTGACATAAATTAAAGAAAATAGAAAACTGTGATTGAAATGATTTAGAGTTACCAACCTTTAATTCATCAAGTTTGTCATCTTCGGGTGTAGCGAGTACCAACGTTATTATACAACTATCAACTTCCTGTAGGTGGAGATAACTCTGATTATTAATCACTAGATGTTCAACCTGATCTAACCAACCAAACATCCCATCTGACGGCCCGTCTGTTAAAAGGCCAATTGGTGAGGCACCTAGAAAAAAAATGGAATTTTTAACTAATTATAAGATATATTAGCAGATTGTGAATAAATCCTTTCCCCCAGTGTTCAACAATATATGGGTTTTGGTTAAAGATGGGTTTCTTATTTTTCAGTGTCAACTTAAGCAAACAATTGAGAGTTTTAACCAATCATAAATGTCCATGTATGTACAGTCTGGATAAACAAAAAAGACCTTTCTTGATCGGTCACTGATTGGAATTCTACTGGTAATCCTTTTCTCAACTTGTTAAAATCAAAATATTTTGTCAGAACTTCAGTTACTAAAAGTAATTTTCAACTTGATCAAAAATAGATATTGTCAGGTTTTAGTGGTAGATCTAGAAATATAAATGTAGATAGATACAATATATAATATTTCTATAATTTAGATATTTTATGAAATGGGAAAAGAATAAAAGATGAAATAGTGAGATGTCACATTCCAGATGAATGATACTTCACTGACCTAGGTGATATTTAACCATTTAAAAAATCCTTCAATGATCCTTCAAAATCCCAAGGTAAAAAACAGAAAATCAAAATCCATAAAAATCAAAAAAACAGAATAGTCAAAATAAAATGAATTAATATTAAAAGTTTATATAAATTATACCAGTGTAAAATATTTCTGAAAAAAACAAACATTATTTCTTAATTTCATTGCAATGTTCCAACATGTCAGTTTTATTAACAGATTATGGTAATTTTTTCAATTCTTTGATTTTATCTATATTACAGTGTTTATGAGACAGGGTTCAGGATATTTTATCTATATTACAGTGTTTATGAGACAGGGTTCAGGATATTTTATCTATATTACAGTGTTTATGAGACAGGGTTCAGGATATTTTATCTATATTACAGTGTTTATGAGACAGGGTTCAGGATATTTTATCTATATTACAGTGTTTATGAGACAGGGTTCAGGATATTTTATCTATATTACAGTGTTTATGAGACAGGGTTCAGGATATTTTATCTATATTACAGTGTTTATGAGACAGGGTTCAGGATATTTTATCTATATTAGTGTTTATGAGACAGGGTTCAGGATATTTTATCTATATTACAGTGTTTATGAGACAGGGTTCAGGATATTTTATCTATATTACAGTGTTTATGAGACAGGGTTCAGGATATTTTATCTATATTACAGTGTTTATGAGACAGGGTTCAGGATATTTTATCTTTATTGAAAGGAATCTTTAAACCCCTATCTTTTTTTCTTGCCATTTTGTTATACTGAATATAGAATATAACCTATTCCCTTTTCCAGTCAAATTGTCAATAACTGTTATTTTAGGTTATTATTTTTAGCTCTCCCATAATGCCCCTCTATAATTGTCCCAACTATTTATCAGAATTACAAAACATTATTTTATAACGTCATCTTTCAGGTTTATACTCTCTCCCCTTCAAATTGCCCCTGGCCATTCTGAATTTTTAAAAATTTATTTGCCCTACCTGTGACATCTTGAACATACGGAATGGGCATTGCTCCCAGTCGATCTATAAATAACACACCTTTACTTCTTAAATAGTCCTTCACTCTGGGATGCATCACTTTCTGACATAAAACTAAACCTACTTCCTTAGTAACCAGCTGATAGCAGAATGAGAGAATTTTCTCAGTAAAAAATAAATCAGGATCCATTCCAGTTGCAACCTCACAATTTGCATTCAGTTCTGATTCCACATCACCTGACATTGAGCAATTTATTAACGCTACTTTGATTCGATCACAATCTACCGAATCCAGGCTCCGTTTGACACTCAGCTTTTTCTCATTCAGGGAAGATAACTCTGGATATTCTAAAACTAATCCACTCAAATTCTGGGAGAAGTTCATATCCTCGTGTTTCACACACAGAAGATAAATTCTGGTTGTATAAAAACTGGCCTTTGAACTCGCCATATCAGGAATACACTGCAGAAATGTTTGAAGAATTAGGCGGGAAAATTCCTCAAGCTGGTAACCATAGAGACCACAAAACGGTTTTGAATCGTACATGTTTTGAACAAATGCCATCATTGCGTCCAGATTTGAGAAATCCATTTCGTATTTGCAAGCACATTCTTCAGAACTCAAATAGTCATCAATAATTTCGTAAAAGACTTGGAAGAGATCGGCTAAAATTGATCTATTGATATCCGACTCAACTGACGACTCCACCAACAACAAACAAAACAAACACGCCATCAAGCCACCATCTTGAAACTGATCTACATGAGACTTGACAGAGTTGACTACCAGTTTTAAAACAGGTTTAGACAGCGAAATAGAGTTGAACAGACGCGAAGAGGTTGTGGTTCGCGTTATTGGCCCACCAGACGCGTTTTGAATAATTTTGATTTTTCCATGAGGACCCATACATGATGAGACTATTTGCCGGAGAGTAGCAAGGCTTGCTTTGACTTCTGGGTCATCCAGTGTGTCTACTTGTAAATTTGACTGGTTTTTGGCCGCTTCTATCGAACCCATGATGCTTTCTGTAAGAAAATGTTTTTAAAAATATATCACCAGAATAAATATCATAATATCAAAAATACCCCATACATTCAAGGCACACGAGTCTACGTTACTAACCAAAATTTACCTTCAATAAAATCCAGAATTAAAGACTTACTGTAATCTGATTGGATAACTAAACTAAATTTAAAATCAATTTTAGTGATTGACCACTCTAATAATAGAAACACTAAAATCATCTTGAGTCAAGTTTTCCAGAAAACCCCGGTTTATAACTAGGCTGTGGCTATTGGCACAACGGTTCAAAAATGGGCATTAAAAAATATATGGCCATCCCTACCTAACTCTAACAAAGTTACTTAATATCATTCTTGACAATTAAAATGACTTCACGCTATAAAAAAAACCCCATAAACTGGCCTGCCTTTTGTGTCCTATCTTATCTGTACCGTTGTTAGCAGCCATAGAGAACACACATCGTGATGGTAGAAATAGCCAGTGAGTTATAACTACTATAATAATAATAATACTAACTATATTCTGATATTCAACAGTCTTAGTTTGATATTGACTCGATGGATTGTTGTTCTTTTCTTCTGTGTTCTACTCTGTCCTCGGCAGTGGTTACTTGAGGGGAGTAAGGAAAGGTGACAATAAAACTTATGGTAAATATCAGGGTGAAGGAAGCTATTTTATTGTCACGACACCAGTTTGGAAACTTAATCAACTCCTGAAATATTCGACTCTGGAAAATTCTACCTCTTCTTGGCTCCTTTCGCATTTTCTACTTCTGAAAAATTAAAATTTAGAGTTAATATTTTTAGATTTCATGTGGGTGTTAAATTCAGAATATACTTTAGTATTTTTTTAGCAGATGACTCAGAATATTATGAAACAAAAAATCAAGATCTGCAGAAAAATGACCATAAAATATTTTCACACTAAAATAGAAGATGACCATTTGTATTCAGTCCAACTAAAATCAGTGAATCATTACGAATGTTAAATACTATATTTGTTTTATACAAATGATATTTGAAATTCTCTAGAAAATTATAGGAGTTCAATTATTTTCAGACACTAAGGGGGGATTTGAACCCACAGCACCAAATCACAGTCGTACCTGGGTTAAGAGATATTATCTCTGTTGGTTCTTCTTCAATATAGTTAGGTTTTGGTTTAAGAAGTTTGGATCCGAAATGAGAGAGAATAACTATAGGTGTCAGTAGTAGTATTAGACGACCAGCTTTAAACTTGTTTAACCAATCAGACATAACTTATTTCATGCACAGAGCTTAAAATAAAAAAAATACAGAGCTTAAAATAAAAAAATACAGAGAATAACATAAAAAACTACAGAGCTTAAAATAAAAAGATGCAGAGCTTAAAATAAAAAAATACAGAGCTTATTTATACAGAGCTTAAAATAAAAAAATACAGAGCTTAAAATAAAAAGATGCAGAGCTTAAAATGAAAAAGTACAGAACTCAAAATAAAAACATTTAGAGATTAAATTAGAATACAGAGTTAATTCAACAAATACGTAGATAGACCTACTCTGCTTATAAGATTAATAAGCTTACTCTGTGTAAAAGCTTATGTTTAAACATAGCCAGTCCTAATACTCGTACTCAAGTCTCCCCCATTCACATAGATTAGATCCTGTAAAGACAACTTGTACCACAAATCACACCACTTATGATAATAGAATACTTAACTTAACCAGATGAAGAAGACAACACTATCAATATTTTGGGGTCCGTGTTGTCTTGTATTTGTAAGGATTACACCACAATGAAAAATTAGATTATCAACTCTCAAAATCCTCTGCCAATTTAATTGAATTGAATCTCATATTTTACTGTTCTACACAAAATCAGTTCACCACAAGTTTGAGTTAAGACTGTTAGAGTTACGTTAGAGTTGGCAGGTCATTTACAAAAAAAAAAATAAAACCGTTCCCAGGCAAGTAGATCGCCTAGAATAGGCCCCTTTGTGTAAAAATTCGATGAAAAGAAAGATCAAAGGCTTGAATGCTTGAAATTAAGCTATGAATTTACTTGAAATTATGGCGAGCAGACGACATCATGCTGAAATTATAATAAACGTACCGTGATGAAATTTTCAACATGGTCACCTTTACAGGAATCGTCGCTTACATCATTTCAAAATTTTACAAATATTTCGACTAAATCTTAAAATTTTAATGAAATCTGCGCAGATCCGCATCAAATTTGGTTAAAACTGCAGTAGATGATAATTATGAAAATCAAATTCTCAAAATTCTGCAATATTAATTGATTGTATTGTTGATGATATAAGCGACTTGATAAGAGAAGATAACTCTCTAAATGAGGGAATCCCTGGAAAATCCCTTCAATGACGTCGATTTTGGTGCAAAATCTGCAATTTTGGCAATTAATAACCCACAGCCTTGTCTGCTAAAGACCTTATTTAATGTTAAAACAGGCCTTAATGACTTCAGAATGGTGACCACTGAAAAATTTTCAATGCTCACAACTGAATTTTTGAGAGTGAGCATCATTTGAACTGTTTGAGTTTTTGGAGTGAAAAGGCCTATTTAAAAATCCCTCTCTTTTTACCATCGTTTTGTCTGCAGTTTAGACTTCCAATAGGTCTAATGCACCTTTTCCCATTATTTGACTATTTCTTTAAGAGTTCCTTTCTTTTAAATCATTTTTTTTCTTAATAATTTTGGCTAACTCTAATGACATTGAACTTGAAGTAGGCTGATTTATCCATTCAAAAATTCAAACACAATCCAGTCCCTGACTGAGTCTCCCCCACCCATCCCAAATACAAATCAAAATCAGACTTGGTTGGGAATCACAGCATTTAATTAGACATATTATTGACCTAACCTATAGAACTATTGTCATTTTAATAATATTTCAATTTTGTAAATTCTATTTTTTACAGGTGAGTAAATTTAGAGTTGTTCAGGTACAGATTCATCCAGAGTTTTTAGATTTACCCAAAAAATCATCACAAAGTTCAAAAGTTTCGTGGTTTGAGAAGAAACACCTAAGAGTGAGTTTACTAAATAATTTTATTTTAAATTTTGAAGGCTGCAATGACTCACTGATGCTGACATGCTTACCTTTGCTTACCTTTGCTTACCTTTGTCTACTTCCAGAATTTTCAACCTGGTTTCCCCCTGTCAGTGTCTATTAGGTTGGATGGGACAATAAACCATGTACTAGTGTGCTATAATGTACGTTAAAGATCCTTTGTCAATGATGCAGATTGGAGGGACTGACATGGAAAAAGCGTCAAGTCATTCGGATAGAACAATGAACAGAGTCCCTGTATTTTTTTTTTTTTCCAGGAAATATTAGATTTAATCAAACCGATAGTATTAGCTCGATGTAATCACGGTCCAGAGGGAAAAGGTGGAGGTGGGGCCAAAAAATCACCAGAAACAGATCGTATTATATCAGGTGACATTGAAGTGATTTCTTTATTTAGATATTGACTTTACCAGCTGATAATATCCCTATATTAAAAATAACTTATGATATCTGAGGGTGTATCAATCATAAAATACTATCAGTGTCCCCGATAAAAGGATCACAGTTTAACTGGTTTGTATTTCATCAATTGTTTCAGCGTAATTTCTAGCAGGAAATTGTCCTAATAGTTGTACTATGTACAGACAGGTGTGATGTTTATGTGTGTTTTGACCTCAGGGTCTAATTCCTAATAACCTTTTTACCTAACTCGATGACAACTGCTTTAACCAATCAAATTTCTACCCAGACAATTTGTGACGCTGTGTTTATCATGTTCGGTCAAGAGGATGATTTGACGAACGTTCAAGAGGGCTGTCATTAGACCTTAACTGAAGTGGCTATATTGAAAATAAATTGGAAGTTTGGTCATTCGAAATCTTTGGAACTGTGACTCAGTAATTAGAGTTTAACCTGTTTTAAAAGACTATTTTCTCTGTTTCTTATTTATAGGTAGTAGTGTCAGAATTGGATATGAATTTAAACGTAAAGAATGTAATGATACTTGTCTAGTTGACCCTCGTGCAATTATTAACTGTTTTTCTCAGGAAAATGAACTAGTTACATACAAACGTAAGTTAAGTTTTTCTGTTTTTCTGTTTTGTGGTATTTTTTCCATTTTGGAATAAAATAAGTGAGAATTTGGTTATAGGGATGTAAAAGGTTTTTGTATTAAGTAATGACTTCCAAAACATCTATAAATGGTATAATTTTTACCCTTGTACCCCAAATGATACTCTGTGACCCACGTGACCCTCACCCGATCTTTTCCTCTATTGTTTTTATTAATCCTACTTATTGGTCAATCAAAAACTAACCATTAGATCTGTGTCTTAAAAACATGTACCAAGAATCCAGAAGTGATGTTATAGAATATCATTATCCTTCATATAATTTAACAGTATAAAAGATAAAGAAAACTAAATGAAGAAATAAAAGTGTAGATCAGAAAGCACTTGTGGAGGAATGATAATGTAAAACAAGTGACTAGTTGTTATATTAGTAACTATTTTAACTCTATTATAATATAAAGGGAATAAGATAGATATTGATTGTGTCAGGTTCAATAAGTTGGTGGAGTAAAATATTTAAATTGTCTTTTTATTGATTTGATCTTCTTTTAGTAGTTTCTATATCTCTATAGTTATCACTTCTTCTAGATTTATTATTAATATACATCAAACTCTATTCAACATTTCTAGTCCACCCTTCTTGACCACTGATGAAATTTTAAGGACAAATAATTTTTACTTCAAAAAAGTTAACATTATTCTGATCTTTAACTGGAGAGTTGTAAATACATGTAATAGTCTTCACACTGTATAATTCCTTCTACAATATCTCAAACTAGATATTTCTCTTTGTATTTCTATATATAGCTTGTCATTTTAACTATCTTTCTGTTAGGTCCTACGATTAGTCAAGACTGGCGAATTTGTCCCTTCAATTCATCCTGTTAATACACACTTTTAAAAATATAGA